ACAAAACAATATATTACCTTCTCGTTCCTTAAAAGCTGTTTTGCACATATGTATCTTTCAAAAGGAAAAGGATGACGTTTAAATAAGCCACAAAACAATATATTACCTTCTCGTTCCTTAAAAGTTGTTTTGCACATATGTATCTTTCAAAATCTTGACTATTATTATCTTCCAATTTTACTTAGATACTTGAAATACACATGTGTTTGTCTCAAAAAGTATGTTCACGCTATATGCCTTTGCTGAATTATACTGAAATGGAAAATTAGTGGTCAAAATAATCCGTGACAGTGTCAACAAAAAACTTTGCAACAAGATTGTTAGACTAACCACGATTTAAATAGACTAAAAATTAAAACATTTGTTTTCTCACTAAAAACCGTTTAACATTCGTTAATATTAGATATTTATAAAATGAAGTGATAAACATACCTGCCGGGACATGGACATGAAATCTTTAGCTGTCTGAGCGTGTGACACATAGTTAACAGTGTGGGGAAAAGTCATCATATTCCCGGTCATTCGTCCCCTATTGTTTCTGTACTGCCTTGGAGTATTTGGCATCTATGCAAAAATTAAAGTTAAGAAGTTTTAACCAGTTTTTTGCACTTAAAAAATGAATTTTGAGTAGAACAAGTCAGTGACATACGAGTGGTGCATGAATTTGTTGGATACTATGCGGCGAAGGGTACACATTCTGCCTCCATTCTTGGCCGAGCCCAATGGGTGGATACATGAAACCTTGCCTTGAAGGACCCTGGGGAAAGTGTGTACTGGGATGGGCAAAGTACACATGAGGATAACCTGTGGGGATCACAGGGCTTGCAGTTCCTGCCATCGTAGCAAGTTCAGCAAAACGTTGCTCTAGCCTTGCTTTTCTGTCCTCTTTCCTTTGAGCAATAGCAACATACAATGGTTTGCCATAAAACATGACACCTGTTTTATTTCAAACAAAACAAAACATTCTCAGTGTCGTGATGTCAATGTATACATTCTTAGTATCGTGATGTCAATGTATAACTATAAGTCGCTGCAAAATAAATAGAGGATTACCACGCATGTTGCCTACGGCACACTTTGCTTCATCGGGTGTGCTATAACATACAAATCCGAATCCTTTGCTAATGCCCTTGTCATCACGCATAATCTTTACTGATGTAATGTTTCCAAATTCAGCAAAGCGCTCGCGAAGAGTATCATCTTCAACTTCATCACTAATATTTTTGATATACACATTGGACCCCTGTCAAAATTAAATACACATTTGTAAATGAAAGACGTGAATGCATATACGTGAATATATAGGATGGAACAACGAGGAGACATAAAAGAGATAATGATGGAACTTGCATTGCTCTTAGTGATTATTTCATTGCGCTTTTCCTCATGTAAGAGCTGCAAATATTGCTTTCTTTCAGCCTTTTTTTGAGCCCTTGCCACATACAAAGTTTTCGCTCCTAATAATGAAAATATGATTAACATTGTTAAGTAAAAATGCATCGACCATTAAAAGTTATTTGTGAAATGAAAAGCATGGCAGTAATATACATACCCAAAGCCATCCCATTCATGGTCTCTTTTGCTTTCTTGGCACTTTCTGGGGTTTTGAAACTAACAAACCCAAAACCCTTGGATGTTCCATCATCTCTCTTCATTATCTTCACACTAGTTACTTGACCAAACTGAGAGAACTTTAATTTAATAAGTTCTTCTGTCATGTCATCATCTATATTCTTCATATACAAGTTAGTGTACTTGTCATCATTATTGGCGGATCGTTCGCTCTTCTTAACGAAATGAGCAACAAGCCTACACAAGATTGATCATTGTAAAACAAAACTATGTAAGTAGAAATGTTAAAAAAAGAAGACAAAATTAACATAAAATAAAGTCATGTACTAGTTGTATTACAGAAACATTGACTTACAACTCTCTGCCCTCAAAGTAAGAGTTGTTAAGAGTCTCTATTGCAATGTCTGCTGGCTCTTGTGCTGCAAACTGAACAAAACCATAGCCTCTACTTGTGCCATCCTCATTTCTAACAACTTTACAAGATAATATCTCTCCAAACTTGGAGAATAGTTCTTGAAGAATTACATTGTCAACATGATCCCCAAAGTTCTATCAATTAATACCATATCAAGTTAGTACTTACATATGGCAATACAGAGTGAGAAATATTAGCATGAAGAACATATTTTATCTTTTTACCTTCACAAACACATTTCCAACGCCACTTCTCCTGGCATCGGGATCTCGATTTGACCACATTACTCTAATTGGTTTGTCCAATATAAGGCTATGATTCATCTGCTCCAAAGCAGTCGTTGCTGTCAACAGTTAAAAAACAAGTCAAAAGCCAATCAATTATCCCTCCATAAACAAAAGTAGTTTGGGCATAGGGCCGTTTGTTGAACAATGAAATCAGTAATAAGATAATGAAGGAAAGAGAGAACGAATAAATAGAAAAGTAGACAAGTTGTTGGTAAAACATACATTATACCTTCAATATATATATTTAAAAAAGAGTAAATTTATACAACAAGCATAGGAAAAACTGGAGAGAGCGACAAGACAGTAGTAATCAACTTATTCATTCACATTTCCATGGATCGGGTATTAACTTAAAAATTGGAAATTGTGCGTGCAGACAAAGTCTCCTAAATTGTTATTTCTACCATCTTCAATGGAAAAGGAACTCAACTTTGAATAATCGATACCAATCTTTGCTCCACATCACAATATATCACCGTGCATCTTAAACTTGTACAAAGGAGATGTACTAATAAACATAAATATTACTCTCTCTGTGAACCGGTTCAGCTAGCACCAGAACCAAGCCTCAAAGCCAAACATTGTTTCCTTGCTAACATTGCCGCAATCTCTAGTTTTGGAAGAGATACTAATTCATGCTTCTAGAAACACCAAACATGCATGTAAAAAGGATGGGTTGTAACCCAAATATGGCCAGTTCACGCACTCTCTCTTTCTTTCTCTCACACACACATGACACAAATACATTCCATACATGGTAAAATTTAAAGATTAACAATTACTCCCTCCGTTCCTAAATATGTCTTTTTAGAGATTCCACTACAAATTACATACGGATGTATATAGACATATTTTAGAGAGTAAATTCACTCATTTTGCTCCGTATGTAGTCCATAGTGGAATCTATAAAAAAATACTTATATTTAGGAACGGAGGGAGTAAATTGCATGTGACATACAAGCTCAAGATTAAGCAACGCATGGCAGTTATGTGATGGGTGCACTAGTTGCATGTTGAACAACCCAAACTATGCAATTCCCCCGGTTACCATAAGGGACCGATGATGGCTATCAATTCAAAAGTGGCAACACACTACAGCAACGAAAACGACAGTTGGATGACAACGACCCATATAGCTTGTTCTAACGCCATCAAAGATGTTTGATATATAATTAAACACGCCCACTTTGATGCCACGCAGAGATGTTTGATATATAATTAAACATACCTATTTTGTATAAATCCATGAAATAAGACCGCAATAAATAATGATAGGAAAAAACATGGCACCCCATATCGCTATCAAGGAAAAATCGAAATTGAAGATACATAGCGGTAGCTCACGGTGACATGGTAGAAAAGGAAAAAAATGAGATGGATGGATTGAGACAGTAGCGCGATAGAGAGCGTGTATACCATCGGCTTGGGAGAAGTAATTCACATAGCCGTATCTGAGCGACCTGCTAGTGGCGTTGTCGCGGCAGACGCGTACAGAGGTGACGGCGCCGACCTTGCTGAAGGCGTCGAAGAGGTGTTCCTCCTGTGCGTTCTCGTGGAGATCGCCAACGTAGAGCGCGGGCACCGTAGCGTTGGTTCCCGCGGCAGCCGGCGCCGCCTGATCATCGCTCGCCGCGGCCACGGAGGGCGCGGGCGTCTCCTCCGTCGGCACCTCCACCGCCTCCGGCGCCGCCGCCGCCATGATCGATCGGCTAGGGCTCTCGGCGCGTCGTCGTCCTAACTCCTAACGCAATGCGGGAAACGGAAACGACGGGTCAAAAAACCGCGAGGCGAGAGGAGGGGTCGGTTTTTGTTTGCCGAGCGACGGCCCCGCGTGCGTTTCGGCCCGTCCCGACCCCAGACCACCCGATGGCCACCCGGCTGTATCGCGTGCAGCGCCCACCCACACACCCGAGCCCTACCCGACCCGACTCGGCTACGAGTAGGACTCCTCCTGAGTCCTGACCCCTCGCTCCCTTTCCCAGTTTCCTCGCCCGTCCGTCCCGCTGCTGCTGCGCTGTGGGCCCGGGCTGTCGGCGTCGCGGGCAGTTCGGTTCGGCCGTTCGGCCACGCCTACCGTGAGGAGTCCCCGCCCTGCCCTCCCGCCGCGGGGAGAAATTACCAGCCTGCCATCGGCGCGGCCCCGGCGCGCCCAGGGGCACAAGCGTCCACCGCACGGTATTTGACCTCCCCCCTCGCTCGCTCGCTCGCTCCCCGTTCCGTGTCGGCGAGCCCTCCACCACCACCACCACCTCCTTTCCCCCTCCTCGCCCTCCCGCGGCCACCAACCGGCCCCGATCCCGGATCCGGCGCGGCAGATCCGGATCCCGGCGATGGCGTCCACGGCGGCGAGGCGGCTCAGGGAGCTGCAGGGGCAGCCCGGGAACAAGACGTGCGTCGACTGCGCGCAGAGGAACCCGCAGTGGGCCAGCGTCTCCTACGGCGTCTTCATGTGCCTCGAGTGCTCCGGCAAGCACCGGGGCCTCGGCGTGCACATCAGCTTCGTCCGCTCCGTCACCATGGACTCCTGGACCGAGCCGCAGCTCCGCAAGATGGAGGCCGGGGGCAACGACCGCCTCAACGCCTTCCTCACCGCGCGGGGCGTGCCCAAGGACACGCCCCACATCCCCAAGTACAACTCCAACGCCGCCGCCGCCTACCGCGACCGCATCGTCGCCCTCGCCGAGGGCCGCGCGTGGACCGACCCGCCCGTCGTTAAGGAGACGCCCGGATCTGGCGCCCCCGCCCCCGCCAGGAGGCCGCCCTTGCCCGCCGGAGTAGGGGGCGGAGGCGGTGGCGGTGGCGGTGGATGGGACGATTGGGACGACGAGGTCCGTCCGGATATGCGTAGGAACCAATCGGCCGGATCGTTTGCTGGCGCTGGAGCGGATTCGGGGAGACAGCCGACGAGGTCCAAGTCCACTCAGGACATATACACCAAGCAGGAGCTTGAGGCGTCGGCGGCCAGCAAGGAGGATTTTTTCGCTAGGAGAATGGCGGAGAACGAGTCCAAGCCTCAGGGGATCCCTCCCTCTCAGGGCGGCAAGTACGTTGGCTTCGGATCCACCCCGCCGCCGTCGGCGAACAGGAACAACAACGGTGCTGCCCAGGGCGATGTCATGCAGGTCGTTTCCCAGGTAAACGAAACAGGTCATTGTTTTTTATGATATTATCAACTACTCCCTATATACCTGCAAACATAATACTACTAGTACATGATGTATAGTTTTGTGGTTAGAATCAACGAATCTCCAAACATTTCCCCAATACTGCAATAGTATTGGAAGAGCATATACTTGTGTTTTCAAAAAGGAAAATCTGCTATTTCATAAAATTGGTTTCTTCCGGGGATCCTATTACAGCAAGTCATGAATGGCTATATTGTCACCACTGTTAACTATGCATCACTGATATTGCCCCTGTTAGAGTTCTGGGACATCCACATCTTATACTTCATCGGATTTGTGAACCTCCCCTCGCATGTAGTTAAAGTGCCCCTTCTACCGTGTCTTCATTAAGCTATGCATATTGACATAGCTGTGGGATCACCATTTGTAGCCTGATCCTGATCATCAACAATTTCTCCTTATAGACTTAATGTGGTTTATTACTGTACCCCAGCCATTGTTTTTAAAGCGTCCCACCTTGGACGCTTAGGCGGTAAGGTGACCTTGCGGCGCCTTACAATTATGCCCGCTTTAGGCGCTTAGGCGTCGCTTAGGCGTCAGGGCAGTTGGTGCTCGCCTTAGTGCCTTATAAACGTCCCCAGCAGCACTCCTTCAGATTATATTAGCAAAGTACATCTGCATCCGTCATTTGGTTACTTAAGGTTATATTTTGTTTGGTGCCAAGCTTGAGATGTCATACTTGGGTCATGTGCATATATGGTTAGACAGTCATGTCATAATTGGACATTGTTTTGATTTCTGTTTAATCTCATGAGTATATGTTCCTTACCATTTTACCTTTTCAGGGATTTGGACGCCTTTCGCTTGTTGCAGCATCTGCTGCCCAATCTGCTGCTACTGTTGTCCAAGTTGGCACAAAAGAGATTCAATCAAAGGTACTTGCAATGCTTTGCCTGATTTGTGATATGCAAGAGTTGAATTGCCGTAGTCTAGTTGATCATGAAAAATGCTCTTTGTTCGCTGTGTTTAGCTAGTATCTTGATTAAATCTTGTTAGACTCTCCTGAATACTAATATGATAGGAAGGTGTCCTCCAAGCAAGGTTTGACATTGTAATAGTTATATGAACTGTCTTCTCTGTTTGGAGCAGTCTTAACTCAAGAATATTATTCTATTCATATTTATTTCTACTGCGCCTGATGTTCAGTATCTTGTCTTGTTTCACACTTCCACCCATGACTAGGCGCTGAGTGAACATATCTTGTCATAATCCTTGTCTCAGGATATAGTGCATGCTGAATTTTAGATTATTTGTCCTGTTCTTTATTCTCATGTTACATCGATATTTGTCTTTTAAGAATGTTCCTTCTCTGGAATGCAGATGAGGGAAGGGGGTTATGATCAGAAGGTGAATGAAACTGTCAATGTTGTAACCAATAAAACTGCAGAGATAGGAAGCAGAACCTGGGGGATTATGAAAGGAGTGATGGCATTGGCGACACAAAAGGTAGAGGAATATGCCAAGGAAGGGGGAGTGGGTGGTGGCTGGGGTGATGATTGGCAACAAAGGGAGCAGCAGAACAACAGCAACGAGCCTTACCGCAGGTATGATCAGGAGACCAGCAACGGCAACGGCTGGAATTCTCCGCAAGATGGATCAGCGAAGAACCAGAACCACAATTCCAATTCTTGGGATGATTGGGATGACCAAGACAAGAAGGAAGAGCCTGCCAAGACAAGCCAGAGCAGCGACTCGTGGGCCGGCTGGGATGATGCGAAAGATGACGGTTTTGATAGTTACAGCCATCACAGCCCAGCCAACAAGGGTGGGAGCAATCAGAATGGAACTGCGGGGGGGTCATATTGGGCCGACGGCGGCTTCCGCTGATGCTGGTCTCTTTGTGAGAGCCATATACTTTGCAGAGTTATATGCCAGAAAAATGTGAGCGTGGTTATTATTTCAGGATACCTAAGTGTTGGAGAGTAAAAGAGTTTTTTTTTTGTAAGTTGTCTACAATTGTTATGTCTAGCGGCATGTTCATATGGCCAAGCCTCATTTGAAACTGCCATCCCCAGCTATTAAGAAGCGTCGAATTGAAATTGTAATCTACACATACATACTTCCCCTGCAGATTCTTTATTCCTTGTGCTGATTTGTCGTAGTTGCAAGTGGCAAGAGGGGTGGCACATGCGCTGTCAATTTCTGCTGTATTATATATTGTGATCTTGTTGCCATTGCTTTTCTGGCGCCGATCCACCAGCTGATAAGGCACTGAGACCTTCGGTGCCTTTCTGGCCTTTGGTGCGACATGATTTGCCTTTCGATGGTTGATTCCAGGAAGGGGCTGACTGTGTGTCCACTTTTGGAAGGTCCTACACTGGAAAGAACGTATGGCACTTGATTCCAGGAAGGGGCTGACTGTGTGTCCCCTTTTGGAACATCCTACACTGAAAAAAACGTGTGCCCTTATAATATCTGATTTGCTCATCTAACTCGTACACTATTTTATCAACCAAATGAACAAAATAAAAAATCGTCACAAATCTCCACATAAAAATTTAACGATGTAGGAGTGAGTTATTGCCCTTGTAATACTGGTATTTATGCCTTTATTATGATGGACATAAATACAATACTGTACTCTTATGAAACTGTAGTTTTGACCTAGAGCAGAGACCTCAAGTAGTCTACTTGCCCCATTTTTTGTTGTTGTGAATGTACTCCAGCATGCAATGATAATCCTATGTATTATCACAGTCCTCATGTGGAGAGACAGATAGGGTACAGCGAGGAGGTGCACCTGCTGGGGCTTTTGCTTAGTTGGAGCATGTGCATGCCAACTTGTATCCAGAATTCGACCATGTGGTCCATGTGGGTCACTCCATGGATTCTCCATCACTGGTCCAGTATAAAATATCCCCAATAACCATTTGGCAGTGCAATAGGATTCTTAGAGTTCTCTGAGTATTGATGAAGACATTAAGTTTCTGTACCCTTTTTGTGATCTGGATCCTGAGCTCCACAAAACCTGATGATTATGTATGTGCATTGTTGTGTTCTGGAAAACTCGAGTAAATTTACGATAAAATTCAAACAGAAAGTCATGTGTAAAACGTGCTCCGAAAACCGTCGTAAAATGTAGAGTAAAATCGGGAGAGGTGAGAATTTGATAGTTTGAGAATGTACGAAGGATCTGAAGACTCAAAACCTAGATGTTGCATTGATGTCTTTATGCATCATTATCTTCTATTATTTACACTTCGTTAGAGATAGTAATTTTTATAGGAAATTGTTAGGTAGGAGTATAACCTAAGGCAACGTACTGAATAAGAATCTTTAGTTGCTTCAAATTTGAACGTAAATTTGCAACATTGAACTAGAGTTCCAAAATATTCATATTATTCTATTACAAAATTAAAATAATAAATAGTGAAGGTTGAACTAAAATAGTATTGAAGCATTGATTTGGCGAGCTCTAGCCAAACAATTTTAGACCTAGGTGAGAATCAATCTTGGCATCACACTATTCTCATTGAAAATTGCATTTCCAAACAAACACATAGCTTTATCAATTTCCAAACAAACAAAGCTTGACAGTTATTGGTTTTCCCGGACTCGTTGTGCAAAGGTGATGAAAGCAAATTATTATCCTCATGGGCATTTGTTGGACATTGTATTCCCTCAAGTGGCATCGGCTACTTGGCAAGGTATTGATGTAGGGTAGAACCCTAGTGGCCCGATCTTTCACGATAGGAGCGGAATCCTGTGAAGAACACGAAGAACACGAGGTGGAAAGAGAGGGAAAACACAAGGGGAACACAAGAGAAACACTAGACCAACAAGAATAAGTCACACATGTGCTAGATCCTCGAATACATAAGAGAAGATACACGATCCACGGACAACTAAGGGCGATACAAGGGTAGCCGGTCTTCTCCGTGAGGAGGTCTTGAATCCACGGGGGGATCTTCCCTTAGAAAGGGGGCTTGAATCCAAAGGGATATTCTCCGAAGAGGCCGCGGTCTCTTGCACGGAGGAGATCCGATATGGATGAGCATAGCTCTATCTCTCAAATGAGCTAAACCAACACTGCCCCTAGTACGGAGCTAAGGGACAAGTATTTATAGTCCAAGGGGTAAGTTGGGGGATACATGCGGTGAAACCCCTTTCACTGCGCACAGGCAGGGCGGTAGTACCGGTCATGGGGGCGGTTGTACCGCTGGGCGCTCAGGTACTGGTTCCTGGAGGTACTTGCGGATGTGCTCAGCGGTTGTACCAGTGCTTGGGGCGGTTGTACCGGTCAGGTGGCTGTTACGGGGATAAATCGGTGCTGCACCGGCCTTGCACCGCTCGATCACAGAAGCTTGGCCGGTTGTTGGGCGATGGTTGAGCGGTTGCACCGCTTGTGGGTCTTCAGCGGTAGTACCGCTTGGTGTGGGCGGTAGTACCCCTCGGGCTGTAGCGGCTGGCTCTCCTTCCCTTGCTCCCGCGCGCACTTGGCCTTGGCCTGTTGGCTCTCCATGATCTCCTCGGATGGGCCTGAGTATGCACAAGGCCCGCGCTTGAGGTAGCATCCGTGTCTTACATGCGGAAAGGGAAGATTCGGAAAGGAGCGAGTTCACCTTGTGTCCAATGGCGTATGCTTGAGGTCTCAACATATGGGCACTAGGGGCTTGGGGAGAAGTCGTAGTGTACATGGGGATGATCATAGGATGCTCCGCATCATCTCCCCTCCCTTGGGAAAGATCCGACCTCGGATCGAAAACCTCATCTCCATGGAAACGGTTGTCGTCGACGGACTTGTAGTTGGACGAAGTGGAAGACATGGCACAATCCAAGTACTCCAAGGTGTCTCCGGAGTGGTACACATGCAAAAAGAGCAAACACAAACGACACTTGGAAATACAATGGTTAGCGCACACAAGGTGTCCATCATGTAAGAATGAGTCCGTGCAACAAGATTGATCCTGACAAGGTGCATGAAGCTTATCAAGATTATCTAGAAAGATATGCAAATCATTCATGGGCGAAAATGCAATCATTGTGCACACATATGTGTTGTGAATGTGATCAATGCAACCACGGTGCAAAATGATGTCATAGAGAGACGGTGTATCAAAAGCATGAACATGGTAATTGGTGCTCAATGTGACTATGTGATCATGCAATTGATGGTGGGCAATATGATCATGATGTATGAATATGCCATCAAGAAAGATCACAACAAATTTGCTAAGGAAATGCACAAGCTCATATATCATGGGTGACATGGGAATACAAGATGCAACAAGGCAATCGTAATATGAGTCAATCCATGCATAAGATGAAAATTTGTCATGTGTATGATATGTCCATCGAGCATGACATGTGTGGGCACAATCAACAAGTATGGTATTCTGACTTTGGGTAAGGAAGATTTTATTTCTTTGCACTATAGGAAACACAGGTTGTTCTCACTTAAAACTGCGTATAGATTGGTGCTGAACCTAACGGACACTAATATGGAGTTAGGGAGTTCCGGTGGTGATGTAAATGGGGAAAGGAGGCTATGAAATATTATTGGAAGGCTTGGATCTCTCAGTAAATCAGAATTTTTGCATGGCGTGTTGCTACAGACAGTTTTGCGGTTCAAGATAACAGAGTTAAACACCATCAAACTGGAGGAAATATGCCCTAGAGGCAATAATAAAGTTGTTATTTATATTTTCTTATATAATGATAAATGTTTATTATTCATGCTAGAATTGTATTAACCGGAAACTTAGTACATGTGTGAATACATAGACAAAGAGAGTGTCACTAGTTTGCCTCTACTTGACTAGCTCGTTGAATCAATGATGGTTATGTTTCCTAACCATAGACATGAGTTGCCATTTGATTAACGGGATCACATCATTAGAGAATGATGTGATTGAGTTGACCGATCTGTTAGCTTAGCATGATGATCATTTAGTTTGTTGCTATTGCTTTCTCCATAACTATACATGTTCCTATGACTATGAGATCATGCAAGATGCAACTCCTGAATACCGGAGGAACACTTTGTGTGCTACCAAACATCGCAACGTAACTAGGTGATTATAAAGGTGCTCTACAGGTGTCTTTGATGGTGTTTGTTGAGTTGGCATGGATCAAGATTAGGATTTGTCACTCCGATTATCGGAGAGGTATCTTTGGGCCCTCTCGGTAATGTACATCACTATAAGCCTTGCAAGCAATGTAGCTAATGAGTTAGTTACGAGATGTAGCATTACGGAACAAGTAAAGAGACTTGCCGGTAACAAAATTGAACTAGGTATTGAGATACCAACAATCGAATCTCGGGAAAGTAACATACCGATGACAAATGGAACAACGTATACCATTATGCGGTTTGATTGATAAAGATCTTCATAGAATATGTAGGAGCTAATATGAGCATCCAAGTTCCATTATTGGTTATTGACCAGAGACATGTCTCGGTCATGTCTACATAGTTCTCGAACCCGTAGGGTCCACACGCTTAACGTTCAGTGACGATTGGTATTATGCGTTTATGTGATTTGATGCACCGATGGTTGTTCAGAGTCCCGGATGAGATCACGGACATGACGAGGAGTCTCGAAATGATCGAGCCGTAAAGATTGATATATTGGAAGGCCATATTCGGACATCGTAAAGGTTCCGAGTGATCCGGGTATTTTTCGAAGTACCGGGGAGTTACGGGAATACGGGAGTACATATGGGCCTTAGTGGGCTTTAAGGGGAAAAGAGGAGAAGCCACGAGGGCTGGACGCACGCCCCCCATGGGCCTAGTCCGAATTGGACTAGGGGAGGGGCTGCGCCCCCTCTTTCCTTCCCCTTCCCTTCTCCTTCCTTCCCCATCCTAGTAGGACTAGGAGAGGAGG